ATTTATGTGAGTGCTATTTGTAGTCAAAACAAAATTGTATTACATAGTTTAAGAAGAGGATTTTCGTTTATCATAATTCTATAGCCAAATTTACCTAAGGAGTTACAATCCATGAAACAATGATATGCTCATCTTTTCACAATTAAGCCAACTTTAATTATACATCATAATCTATTAAAAATGCTTGGCAACTTCAATTTAATATAACTCATATTAACCTGTTAATTGTAATAGCAATAGCTACATGAGTAATATTTTTGTAATCTTTTCTGATGTCATTTAAATTATAATTATTAGACGTTGGATTTTACCATAGTTACTAACTCACTCTTTCTGACCATGGTTGTCAGATGGTCATTTATACTGCAGAAATGATGATTTTTACCGTAATTACTATACAGTAAGTATGTTATAGACAGACAGACACACACGAATTTCCGTTTCTAGACTCTATCCTTTTAGTCAAGGGAAAAAAACTACGAATAAACTTTGAAAGTTCTTTTTTCCAGATAATATAATAATTAAGGACCTGGGTGTGGATGTGAGTGGGTGTGAGCGTGAGATATAGTTGTTGACTTAACTCACACCCACACCTACACCCTCTATGGGATATGTCTCAATATAAGAAGCAAAAGCATAGGTAGCTCAGACTTAGCACCTCTAATTTGACGCATTATTTGAGTACTTTGGCACTAGAACAACACTTCAATAACTCAATCCGTTTGCCATCAAAAACACTGCCGGTAACTTATGTCGATAATAATGTCATGCTCACAGAGCTTATTTTTATTTTTGCTTTCCCATTATTTATACAGTGAAGCTCTTTCGTGAGTTAAAATTATGATTCAGATAAACTTTACCATCTGCTTTTCTATCGCAGTTATATAACAACTTTATTAAAATTCTAAATTAGAATTTAGATAAAGTTTATTTGTCTATTTTTTTTTGTCGCAGTTACATGAAAGCATTATTAGAATTATACATTATGATTCAGATAAACTTTATTATCTGCTTTGCTATCGCATTAATATGACAGCCTTATCTGAATTATACCTGGTGCAGCATAAAGATTGTAACGTTTGGTATTTTGCAAATATCACACTACAGATAAATCTTATAATTTTGATTTTTTGTAAAAGATGCACTGCGAAAAGGTCTCCGAAAACTGTAAGAATAAATCCCTATTGACTCGTTCTGACGGTGTCTCTTATACCTAAAATGAACGGATCACATGATGGTGCTATATTCCACCGTATTTAGCATAATAGAAATATTCGGAAAATTTCTTTGTTTTACAATAAGAATTTGTTCATACAGTTTTTGTAGAGCTTCTCATAGTGCATCTTTTAGAAAAAAATCAAACTTATGTGATTTCTCTGTGTTGTGATCTTTTCAAAATACCAAATGTTACAATCTTTATGCCGCATCTGGTAGTATGAGACGGAATATCATCTCCGGAAATGAAAGGTCATCGTGATGTTGACTTGACAGTTTTTCTGTACCGTGCAAATCCTAAAATATTAGCTCCTATACAACTGTTTTTGGTTGCGAAAATGCAGCTCTTAGTTCGTCTAGAAACTCTTTTCGCGGAGTAGTATTGTTTAAAAACATAGCATAGAAAAAGAGTGTTAAGGTAAATATTTTTTGCATTCATATAATGAGAATGTTTTAACTTCCACGTCTTAGTTTGTAGACCAGATAAACTTCTAGTGTTTTTATGTATTCGTATTCGATACAAAAAGCTGCCGTTTCTAACAAAAGACAAAGATAAGATTCTAGAATTGATGAAAAGTCCATTACAAAATCGAAAATCCTTCTCATAAATAGTCGAATATCATGATTCCTTCCACGCATACCTTCGGAAAAGTTTGCGCCCGCTCTTGAAATATAGGAAATCGTTTTTGAATGTTCATCCAAAACAAACTGGAATCATTGACCACTTGATTTATGGAATTCAGTATATAATTCATATTTGAAACCAGAACACCTGAATGACTGAAACAAAAAAAAGGACGATATGTTTAGTGACATTAGACAATGATATGATCTATCAGTTAGAATCAAAAACATCTTCTTCTGTTCTTAGGCAAGCGTAATGTCAGATTAAAAACGATCATCAATGCAAAAAAATGAGCCGAATACTAGATTACTTGATCCAAGTGTAACTTTTCATAGCTACGTTTGAAATGTTTAGTTCCATCACATAAAATACTCATCTCGATGCGCGTTGCCATTCTACATAAAACAGTTAGAAATTCGATAGAAAAAGGTCCTAAGGGTCGATTTACGCTCTGATCAATCCCATCCTTGCTGTACGTCCAATCGTAAATAATGACTCAATATTATTTTGTACATTTCGAAATTTTGAGCAAATTTAAATTACTGATTTCATTTCTTGCATTAATTCAAATCTGATAAACCATGATTTTTGTCGTTTGATTCGCTGATTGAGCGCTCCAAAAAGTAAGCAATGAAAATATTAAGTTTTTGTGATTTTCGACTTCTTGAGTTTGGCAAAGCCATTTTGTAAGGAATCATCATTATATATTAATATGAAAGCAGTCAAAATCATTGTACGTGTTCTGCTATATTTCGGTGATTCTGTAGTGTTTCGATGAATTATCCATTGTTTTCATCCTTCAGTTATTGCGAAACAGTAATAAGATTTTTCTTCTCTCCAGATCGGACCATGAGAATAGGAAAATATTGACGCAATTGCAGAGATATAAACAGTGTAAGCATTATTCGCATATTATTGATGGTAGAAAGCAAATGCGATGACGACGAGTCCATTATCTGTATGGTAAGTACACAATAAATTTATTTGTCCTGCTCTCTTCTCAATCTTTAAAAGAGAGGCACATTAATAGTATATCAGCTCAGAAGAAAAATTTACTCATCTTGATCCTCATGCCTATTGACTTTCTTTTCAATAGAGTTGAATGTCGAAGTGTATGCATAGAAGGTAATTTAAGACTGCTTTCTTGTTTTATTATTGTTTCATGATTTGACATAGGACATGATTAAAACGATATAATCTCCCCACGGAGAAAAAGGTGTGACTTCAGTACTTGAAGTAAAACATTTGAAGTATGAGTAACGTACAAGTGAAGTGCAGTGAAGCACGGTAAAGCATGCACTCCTGGAGTCTCGCTTTACTCCTCTTGCCTCTTCTGCTTTTTATTCATGAAACTCATCCGAACACAAAGTGCTCGTCATATCCAACATGAAATATCAAGCTAGAAAACAGGAAGAAGAAAAGCAACATAAGTAAGAATAGCAGCAAAAACATGTCGACGAACGGTGCACCCTCACATTTCAGGAAGTCTAAGATTGTATGAGGAACGAAGTTCTAACAAAGGAAGTTTTAATGTGTTTATTGATTACTTTCTTTGGTAGAATTATAGAGATATTTACAAATAGAATACCTACACTGTAAAAGGAATCTGGCTTCGTAGCAGTACTTCCTGAAAACATAGGACTGCAAAAGAAATTTATATTGGTCACATTCGATATAAGTTGCAAAAAACCACCAAAAGATGAAAGCGATAAAAAGCCATTTAAGGCTACTTAATTTTTTTAGGAAGAAAAAAGGTCTAATCCGATCAGGAAAACTCTGTTGATTTGTTTGAAGCAGTTTCTGAATCGAACAAAAAGAGTACCTTTAAAATATATAGATTGCACGAAGTTCTTCATAAGTTACTTCTTCAAGAGATTTCATAAACTCATGAAAATATTTTCTTTCATTCTACTTCGATTTAAATGCATCACTAGCAAAGTATTTCGATTGTTTTGTCTGTAGAAATAACATCAAAGCAGCTTCTTTTATCTATCATTCGAAGACTCTTGATTCACTCTACAAAAGAATAGTATTCTATTGAAACTTGCACACTCAACTCTGCTAGCCGGATCTGTCTATCGAATAGATCGATTAATATTGAAATTTCTGCTACTAGTGTTGGATTTCGAATCACGATATTGCCTGTAGTTTGATTTTTAATGCATTTTACTTTTTGAATCTTATTAAGCAGTCTTCTGATTATTCAACCTCAGAAAAGTGTTTACTTCTCAAGCCTATGACTTAATCAGCCAAATGGTATAGAAGCTCAACTTTCACAATAATTTGAGAACTCCTGACCCATATGTGTGAAACAAAAATAAATTGATTTTTCCTAAAAATATTTCATACGAAAGTTCGGAAAATATTTTGAAGGCATATTGTTTATAACTTTCAGCTGAAGCATAAGATGCTTGGTAAATAATATTGTTTCGAGAGTGAACACGTAGCTATTTGGCTAAATCGCTGGTCAAGTAGTTCCTCCAACAGATAGATAGAACGATAGATAATTCGTCAGATAGTTAAATAAATAGATAAATACAGAGATAGATAATTAAGTAACTGATTACAAAGATAAATAATTAAACAAATCAATAAAAATATATATTCAAGAATGGAAATGAAATTGGAAGTCTCTGTCGCAAGAGTTTCGATCTCAAAAAGAACTAATACAGATATTTTCTGAATTCCGATTTTTTTTATTGTAGAAAAAGAATGAATCTATATGTAGATTTTTTTCGTGTAAAGCCTTTTGAACGGTTCAGAATTCATTGCAATTTTCCGAACTCTTTAAGGTTTGGTGCAGTTCTCCTATTCTTATCAGAGTACACGCTCTTGTTACTGTATAGTTTGACCATCCTATGAAATATAAGTGAGCATAGTGCTAAACGATACATCTGTGTTTTGATATAATTTACGACAATTATAAAGAACTGTGCAAAAAAAACCATAACATACATCTAAATATTACTACTTTTTATTTCTTTTTGTAAGTATCAAAGTATTATATTCCCAATATGAATGTTTTGAATGTGGAAGAAATAGAAAAAGAAAAGTTCGTAGGATAAACTATTATTCTTGTTCTTCTTTTATATTTAATACACAAAGCATATCAAAAACATATTCATATTTGTTTTAAATTCGATTTTTCATTCTTAGCATAATGTTATCATCATCCTCATCAAATAATGACGACAAGGATTCAAGTATCACTGATTTATTGTATGATTTATGTAAAGAAAATGAAGTAGAAAAAGCTCGAAGCATTCTACCATGTATTGATAATATAAATATTATAAATAAAATTCAAAATTCAACATGTTTGCATGTGGCATGTTATTATGGACATCGACATATGGTACCACTTCTATTACAATACGAAGCTCTACATTCCATTAGAAATTTACGACACAATTTAACACCTTATGAAGAAGCATGTAGAGATGGTATCAAACAGCTGTTTGTAGAACATTGCAAATTATTTTCAAATAATAATTTTGATTATGATTATGTTGAATGGTCAGTAGTAGGAGAT